TGTTTCTGACTGCATTTGATAGTTTCAATCGTTTAATACAGTTATATAGAAGTAGGAGTGTTCAAATTGAATCAAACCAAACTAACCCAAATCAATCCAAAATCAAACATAATCAGTTCAGATAAGTGAAAATCGAACCAAGGAAATTGGTGATGAATATATTTCCAAAAGCAATAAAAATAAACCAAGTAATATGTGAAAATCTCACCCCACTAAAGGGGCTAAAGAATGGAGGTGTTTAAACTTTAAACAGTAGAAAAGCAACAGCGACAGAAAGAGCTTAAACGTATGAATAAAATCCAATAAAGAATGGACGTGCTTTTCTACCACGGTGAATTTTGAACAAAAATCAATGAAAAATCAAATTACACAGCACAATGCATATTAAGCAACATCTTATACAAAACAACAACAAACTTTATCCCACTAGGTGAGGTCAACTACATGAATTGTACGACGCCAACTCTATCATTTATTAAACTTTTAGAAATATTATTAATTAAGAGGTCTTGATCAATAATTTTCAAAAATGTTCTCTTTAGCTTTTCTCTATCCTTCCTAATAGGGCTCAATTATTTGTTCTACTCTCCTCACAGGTGCCTCACGTAGCTTTCTTTGTATATGTCCAAATCACCTCAAACGATTTTTTACCATTTTTCCTTTAATAGGTGCAACATCCACTTTTTTCCTGTTTCTGCGCTCATTTTAGATTTGTCTTTACATGTATGTTCGCACATTCATCTCAACATTCTCATCTTTGCTACTTTTCAAATTTATGCTCTTGATACCCCACTAAAACCCAACATTCACTACCATATAACATTGTCGGTCTTGTAGCAATTTGATAAAACTTTCCTGTAAGTTTATTAGGTACCTTATAAATGCAAATAACTCCTGTAATCTTTTTCTATTAATCACTCACTCTTGTATCCTATATGCAATGTCTCCATCAATTTCCGATTCTATAAGAAACAATCTTACATAAGAACCAAAACAAAAAAAGATTTAAACCAAAACTAACTTAACCATAAACCCCGAAAGTTCTTTTAGCAAAGCCACATAGTCGATTTGATTAATTGGTCTAAAACCAAACATTTGAACAGTCATAAGGAATCCTGAAGATACTTATGACTTCAACAAAAAATCCTGACCTGTTTGTCCCCTTTAGGACCTTTAAAGATCGGGATCTGATGAAAGAATCCAAGAAGTGTACATCATCGCCTGTGAGCATCATAGGGCACAGTCAGCGAATGTAAGACACCGTCATGATCCACTGAACAATTAAAAGCACAATGCCTTAAGCGTCGACCTGTGTTTATTCGCGACAGAGTGAAGTCAATAATAGATATGATCAGTCCATATGTTTTAACAAGCATGTGCCTGCCATCAAGAGTGAACTGCAATGCCTTTGATTGAGTCGCTTCGACTTAAAAGAATGTTTCCCCCCTGTGCAATTGCAAATTAATAGATTACTTATTAAACAAAAAAACAAAAATTGCAGAAGTAGTCATTGACATCATGATAACCTCACCAGTGAAGATCTCGATGTTCAAATTCATATGCAGATTCAGCCACAGCAAGCCCAGCAGTGGCCTGCATTTTATGAGGGAATTGAGACGCATAGAAATAAAACCTTCATGAACAGGTGGTAATGCGAACTTGACATGTAAACCGTACCTGAACTAGTAAACTCCTTGCCTCGTCAAAATTCAAAAGTGCAAAGCTTTCAAGATCCTTGCCACCATGTCGTAATACGAACACCACATAACACTGAATGCAGATTTTTATTCAGTCACTTAGTATATGATCATATATCCACCCCTACAGACTGACCCAAAAAAAAAAAGCAGCAACTAAAGGCATGTCTCTGCTTTTCCTTTGCTGCCCCTACGTCCTGTCTTCATACGTTGTGAAACAGAATAAGTATATCTGTGGCTGCGCACAGAATTTTTTGTCTAAACACTCAGAAGTAAGATTGAAATGCATGATTTGGGCGCATAAAGTAAGATTATGAACCATGACAGAAGTTGAAACCTCACTATCATGTCATTAAAAACGGTTGAAATGGGAAACCTGTTTCTCTGGAAACACTTCCGGGTGATCATTCTCTGAACCATGATTTTTATCCCAATTCTCCCATGCTTGAATCAATGAAGCATCGTAGGATCCTTGGCATACACTAAATCTGTCACAAAAGGCAAGTCGACATATATCTGAGTTCCACAGATTATTTACAATTACAACTGGGGCATAAATTAGTCTACATGCATACGAGACATCCCGATGATTAAGGCTGAGTTCAATCCTGCATCTGTAGTTCTACCATATCTTGAAAATTGACGAGTACCGCCAACGCCACATGGAAGACTTCAAGACCATCATTAGGGGGTCAAGTTGTGAAAGAGTAATAACTTGTCCTCGTCAAAGGTAATGATAATCAACTTAAACGTTACGAACTAGAATTATTTTACAAAACAAATTCCATCTTTAAGCACGCATATTTGTTTTTATTTAAAAAGAAGACAACTCAAAAGCGAGCAAGAACTAAGAAATTTCTTTCCTACGATGTCTGATATGGTTGTAACAAAGTAGCATTTATAAATCGAATCAAACACTCACTTTAATGTTTCAATGAATATTCCGCAAGAATTATGAGCGTCTCCATCATTTTTCCTCAAATAGTTCAGCGTTTTCGAAAGAACCACCTCCTCCAGCAGTTCTTCTGATCTCTGTAGTACAGAAGCCATATATAGTTAGTAACGTAAGAACACTAATAATTTACTCAGTCGATGGACACAGCATCTTCTCAAACCCAAACAAAACAGGGAAAAAATATATATATCACCTCATTCAACTAATGGCTACCCGCAACGCTTGCCAATCTAGTTCATTAACAATTAATTTACAGTGATTGTTGTCAGCTCGTTCATCAAATAGCCTTACTGCAGTAGGGCTAATATAATCAATATCGATATATCAATAAATACTACTACTGAACCATACTGTTTACATAATCGTAAACAAGGTGGCTTCTAATTTCCGTGAAATACAAGGGCTGAGATCTATCTATATTGGACAGCTAATTCCAAGAACATTATGAATGCAAGAATGCAAGAGTTACCTTTTGAACTTCCCCATTCACTCTGAGTTCCCGTCAATAGGAACAATTTTACAAACGTAGCTGCCAATCTTGAAAGCTTCTCCATACGTTCCTTCACCAATTTTGACGATAGTTTCAGGATCACTGGAAGTAACAAAAATTATTCCTATAAGCATGAGGATGTATTACCACGTTCAAAGAAATAATAACTTGTGAAAAACTCAAAGTCATCATCGTAATTTTAAATTACAAAGGTCCTCTACATTAAACTAACAACTAGTTATGCCATGCTAATCTGAGGCAATATTACTTGATATTTTTTTTTTTTCCAAATAACAGGAGGGTATGGAGAATTTAATTCAATTAGCAATCTAAGTTAAAGCCTCAAACCGTATGCCTTACATCATGGCAAAGACGCAAGTACAAGTTACAACCAGAGAAAAAGGAAATTCACATTAAATTACGAGTCCCCTGTGCTGCTTAAGAAATATGTGAGCGTTTAATCATCAAGGTCAGAAAACTTGACAGCCTGTAAAGTGAAGGAAAATGTTTTGCTTGGTGGGGGGAAAATCTCATAACATCACAAATAATTTATTGAGGGAATAACTACTACTTAAAATAAAGCAGCTTAAAAGCCTGTATTGTAAGACAAAGAAAGCAACAGGCTGCGCCATAACATGAAACCCAAAGACTAAAACCAAATAATATAATTAAAATATGCAGTAAGGAGCAAAATGCAAATCCACAAGCACATGATTTTTGCTAATCTTGGACAACCATAAGGTACGATGGTATAAGGAACTAGGAAACACACCAATACTCAGATAGCACGTCTTGAAACTTCGAGGGCACAGACTGTCCACATATTTCCAATAAAGCAGCAAATGGACTAAAATGTTCATCTGCCAAAGCTGATGACGATGTCAGTGAGAGCTTCTTAACAGCAGCTTCTAAATTTGCAGAATCTTCATCATCTTGAATGGACATTTTATCAGTTCGCAAATCGATGTCCCCCTCAAATAGACCATTGTCGACAATAATACTTCTGCCTTCAGTGATGATTGTATGAAGATGTGGATCAACTTCCGCAGATTTTTCAGAAGTTCTTGGATCTAAACAAAAATCAATATCATAAATAGTCTCCAATCCCCTGGCTGGAGTATCTAATATCTTAGACAGCGTGCTAGAAGGACCACAACTGAGATTCAATTTCCTGGACAGTAACCATTTTTCTAATCTTGAGCATAGATGAGGCAGTTGACCATTATAATTTTCATTGCCTAGGGTCCATGTACCAACTTTCTTGGGCGAGGGACTCTCCTCTAACAACTCAAAAGCATCAACCTCTTCAAAGTATGCTCTCTCCTTCTCAAAGTTAGGATGAGCTACCAATTTTCCCTGCGAATAACAAACAAATAGGTGGCTGAAAATGGTTTGGATCTCTTAGAATACATGTACTAACGGAGTCTTCTGAAGTTCAACATTACAAACATACAATGCTTCCTGAATTAATGAAAATGACTCAGAAATTAATTGAAAACGCAGCTGCAACAAGAACAAAACAAAATGCTACACTATTAAGATCGTCATCATGCAAAATGAGAACAAGAAGCAACAAAGGCATACTTTGGGAAGAGCAGGTCTCCCTTTTCTTTTTTTCCTTCTTTAATTCAGGCTGATAAACCATACAAGCTCCAACAGCTATACTTGTCCTCCCTCTGTTTAAAAAGAATTCAATAAATAGAAAATGAACCCACAGTTTAATAACATAAAAGAAAGAAAAAGATAGGCAGAGGCAATCACCACCTTAATTAGATACTCACTTTTAGAAGGTCAAATGATCTACCTTGTCGAAAGAAAAATGTAAGAGCGGAAACTACAAGCAAACCTTGTCGAAAAGATCGATTCCAACTGACTAGCTTGTTTGGGTCGACCAAACTCACGCGATTCGCAGGCGGGCGACCGAAATCAGAATGCTTTCTGGGAGCATTGAAAGACAAAAAAAAACAGTTTAGGACACGATATAGAGGAAAAATCAAGAGAAATGCAAAATCAGGTGGTCAAATGAGGAAACGTGGAATTACAAGTTCAAGTCCTTTTGGTTGTTCTGGGTTTTTCTTCTTCTGTAGACCACCTCGATTTGTTGCTGCTGCTGTTGTGGTGCATCTGCACCTACGATTTTTGACCATAAATCAACCGAACTTCCCCCTGGAAAATACGCACCCAAAAATGAAGAGAGGATTTGAAACTGAGAATCAGAACATCGGAAAGCGAGGACTTGCTATCTCCATACCTGCCTTGGAACCCATTGCTTCACTGCAGTCGGACAGCAGTTAGCAGAGATCGAGTTGAAACTTGAAAACCCCCCTGGCGGGATTAATTATTGAAAACGTCCATATAAAAAAATATTTCATTTTTTAACAAAGAACCAGACAGGAGAGAAAATCGTCAAGGCTAATTAGTAGTCTTGGTGAATTTTTAAGAAGCTAACTTAATTTTTTAAAATTGATCTTATATAAAAAATTATCAATATCAATTTCATAAACTTTTATCCTCATCTTAATTATCTCTTTTTAACATTTCATTAATGTATCTGCCCCTTTGAATAGCTATTGAATGTTCATTAAACAATATCTCTTAAATGTGAAATCCCTCCTTCCCTCAAGCCAAATTTCGAGAAAAAATATTACCCTGCGTCAAGTGATTTTCATTGTGGAAATTTCATTTTTAAAATAAGATGAAAATTTAGTTCCGTCAAAAATTAAAGTTCATGAATATTATAGATCTTGAACTATTACTCAAATAATATCATAAAATCTAAACTTTTAAAGTGAGCCAAAAATCTTTCTCCATTTATAAATTTTGAATAAATTACTCCTATCATTTATCCACATAATTTGACCATTATAGCCCCACTGTTATGCCATGTGTCAAGAGAGGATTAGTGCCAAATTAACATTTGATTGAGCCCCACAAAGTCAAAAATAACGGCAATTATATATAACTAAATGTGAAAAGCAATTTATAAGTCAAGGAAACCCCCTCCTAGCATCCACATCCTTATCGGGTCCGTTTGAATTCAATTTGTAACGGGCGTCCTAAATTAGGACTTAATCATCATACAAAATCATGGTTAATCAAGGACTAACCCAAATGGATTATACAATACGAGATTAACCTAAATGAATTCTTAATATGTATTTATTTTTCACAAACTATTTAATAAAAAGGAATCCCAAGTCTTTAAAATATTTTAAGAACTCATATCATTCAATTAAACATATATGGAAGCATGATAATAACTATTTTTACTTGTACAAATATTTTGACCCATTAATATAATACAAGCATCAAAACAATCTCAAAAGCCCAAAATACCTTTCCATCCTACACAAAACCCATAGTGCAAATGGATCAAGAATATATATCCTAATTGGCAATATCATAAACTAAATACACATATCAACATAAAAGGAGAGAGGCCTACAGAGTGATTATTATCACTTGACCTAATGCTCCTTTCCTCTGTTCTTCTCAGACGAGCTAGCTCCTATAATATGTTAAAAGAGAGGGGTGAGTACATCACTCAGTAACTAAGGTATATCTAAGCTATACAAATGCATGATGATTAATCATGAATGCAAGTGACTAATAATTTATCAAGGTGACCATTCAAACAATCACATTAATACATGTTAATCACATTAACACTTAACTCATGTAAATAATTTCAAGAATAAAGTCAAGTATAAAATTTGCACAAATAGCCACATATACATTATTCGCATAATTACTACATGTTCTCATTTCTACAATTAAATCATATTCTCAACATAGCCATCAATCACTCAAATGGCATGATAATAATAATATGCATGATCAATCCTCTTCCTTATATTCCCCCTTATTTTCTTCTGACATGAAATCCGTGGGCCAACAACCAGAAGGGATCATCCATGTGGTGAGACTACCCAAAGTTAATATATCATGAGGGGCCACTGGGCCAGGGATACTTTACTCACTTATGAACATGATTTCTCCAAATCACACACTATGGGGTGTCATACCCAAAATTAACTCTACCCAAAACTCCAGGTAGGCCAGTAGGGTCAAGTTCCTTAATAGGAACAATGCTACAATACCTTACAAGGTAAGTAGCGGCTATAACCCTAGGATTATTGGTTAATAGCCAAATATCATATGAATTTTATGTAATTGCTAACTCCTTCACTAAGGCGAACTCCCGCCATATGATCATATTAATAAAAAAAATGCATTTTAAAAAAAACTCATATATATAATTCATAATTTATAGTCAAGATTGTGCACATCATCATCAACATCAATCTCATTACTTATACAAGTCGCAATTAACTTGGTTACAAATCATAAGGTCTCACAAAGCCACATGCATTACAAATAACTATTTAAATTTAGATATATATATATATATATATTTTTTGTTTCACCAACAATTAATTAATTAATATACAAATGCATAAATAGATTTCTCGCGGTTACCTCAACCTTTGAGAGGTCAAAGGTTACCCTTCAAGTTACAACACTTCTAAAGCTTGAATGGTGTCAAAAGAAAATTAATCTACAATTGATCATATCCCAATGTGTCAATAATATTATTAACACAATTTCACTCATACTCTAACACCTAAGTATTTATTTTATTTTATTTTATATTTATTTATTTATTAAAGAAATTAGTCTTAGTCTCTTGAATTTTAAATTTAATTTCATGTATTTGAACCTATCTACTTGTTTAATAGTCCTCCTTCACAATAATTTCATTCAAATATTTTCTAATATCAAAATTTCTCTCTTTTTTCAAAAAATTCGCAAATAAAAATACCCAAAAAATTGCAAACTTGATTTCAAGCCTAAATCATTATTCTATAGTCTTAATAATTTATTTCTCATCTCAAATAATCATCTAAATATCATAAATTAATTTATATTTCCAGATTAACAAAAATCTACCCATAAAAACTAGGGATAAACTCAAGCCTCAATTCTAATTTATCAAAAATAATACTCTAGAATATTTATTACACTACGAACAACCTCAAACCTATTTATTCAACATAAATTCATTCCTCTTCCAAATCCTAAATTTTCTACCACCACAAAATCAGAAACCAAAGAGAAAATATGACTAAGAAAATATTTAGAACACTTACCTAGTTTTAGAATATTAAAATCTCATATGAAGTATCTTATTATAGCGCTTCACCTTTTAAATCAGTCAGCCTCTCCATCAATGTCGCTCGCTCTCTCGCTCGCTCTCTGCCTCACTCGCGTACAGGGATGAAATGAAGAAATGAAGGAAGGAGGGTGATTTTATAAAAAAAAAAAAGTGGGTCCCACATGTTTTTTTCCCTTTCCTCTCTCTTCTTTTTTTTATTATTATATATAAATGTGTCATGATTGCCGTGGGAGAGCACCGAAAGCGATTTCTTCTTCTCCTGCTTCTTCTTTCTTTCTTTAGACATTTTCGTTTTTTTTAAATAATAATAATAATAATTTAATATTTTTTTTTAATTAATTAATTATTTTTTTTAAATTTTAATTTAGAATTATATCCTGATTAGATTTAACAATCATCTCCTTCTAATTTGCTTACCTCTAAATATTTTTTTTAAATTTCTATTACCCCAAATTAACTATTATAATTTAAATTGAAATGTTACAAGTTGGGTATAATAATTATAAAATAATTAATTAAGTGGTAGATTTTAATCATAATTGATTATGCTATAACGCAATGTGTTTTGGATACTGTTTTTTCTAAAATTAATTTTAATAAAATTAAAAATATTTGGATAATTTAATCAGAATTAATTTTAGTTATATAAATTAGTATATAATTTAATTCTTAAATATCAAACATTAATTTTTTGAAGATACAAAATTTAAATTTTATTAAGGAAAAAAAAGAGAGAAGAGAAGAGAGTTTTAATTTTATTTTTATTAAATTATGTGCTTTATTTATAATTTTTTCATGGGCCTTTTTTTGTAATTTTTTCCAATGTTTTTTGATAAACTTTTGGCCGGGGAAAATGCGCGTAATACATCAGAATCGATTTTTATTCTTTTCAACCATTTAGGTAATTTCATTTTAAAAAATTAATTTCAAGCACAAAAATTGATTTTGAAGCCAAACCAAACGGGCACATTCTAGTTGAGAAGAAAGAAGCAATTTTAAACACCCATATTAACACAACCCAAACAAAGAGAAGAAGAGAAGCAATTACTCATATAATGACCGATAAGGAAGAAGAGTACAGTGACAAAGAAGCAGTTTTTAATAAACCAGAAGAAGCTAACGACTTCTAATGGGCTTGTTGGAGAAGAAACAAGCAACAGATTTTGAAGAGGACGGCGATTCAAAGAAGCAATTTTAACAGTCTTGATTTTCTTCGTCAATCGAGAACAAGGCTCTTAGTTTATATATTCAATGTTTATGTTATCTTCTTCTCCTTTGCCACCTCAAATTCCCTCACTTCCTCTGATATTTTTCTTGTTATTTTTTATGTTTTCTTTTCCCTTTACACGAAATAGGCTAATGATTCATCATTTTTTGCCACGCAGGATGGCTCAAATATGATTCAGTCCTAAATCATGGATGACAAGGACAAACATATGAACAATACAAATGTTAGGAACTGAATTGTGAGCAAATTAAAAACTTAGAGATTAAGTTGTACTAAATCATACTCAAAAAACTATATATAAATGAGTGAAAATTATAAAAACTAAAAGATTAATTTTTCTCCTTTTTGTATTTGTATTTGCATCAAAGACGGTATGATAAAGTATATATTTATATATTTTAAATAATGAGATTTTCAGACTTTCTGTAATTTTTACACGTCATATTGATATTGGGATATCAATTGTTAATAGGCTGTCAAAAATTCCACATCACAAAATCCTGCTCCTGTGTCAGGATTTTAACGGACTTTGCCAATGGATGTTAACTTATGGCGCAAGGGTTACTTAAAGCTAGAACTTGGAGAGAAGTTAAGTTAATCTTCTTCTTTTTTTGGCCAAAATCTCGGTTTCTATTGACTACACTACATAGCCAATACATGGAGAGATAAAAAGAGATTGAGATTTGAGATATTGTCTTTAAAATTAAATTAAAGTCTTCAATTAGCTCTGTATTTAGAGTCGGAGTTTTGGATAATGTCACATTAATTAAGCCTAATCACACCTGAGAACGGCGCATTCTTGTTTGGCTATTTATGCAATCATTTCCGTTGCGAGCCCCCGCATTTATTATGGCCGGCAAGCTTCTATTTTATTGATCTATTCCCTCAGTTTTTATTTATAGAAGAAATTATTA